AGAAAACAAGAATGTGGCTGATGGGCTGGCTTGGAGCTACTACTTTGGTTATCTCAAGCTGGTGCTGCCAAGACTGGGATATCGTATTTCCGAATCGGACACATTTCGTCATAAGATTACAGACGAAAAGCTTTTCATTTTACTTCCAAAAACGTGCTATGCATTTGAAGAAATATCCAAAGCAGATGACAGGGTAAAATGGGCCGGCAAACTTCCCGCGAGTAAAATTAACAGGGCTGGAATTTTGGAGAGAAGTTACCAGCATGCGGTACACCGCATAGAGATGCCCCGCCCAGATGGAACAGTGGAAGAGTACCACTTTGTCTTGGAGTACGCTACGCCTCTTATGTCCCTGTGCGAAATGTCTGGTCATGCAAAGGCCCCTTTGACTGGTCCAGAGCGGGATCATCAGGTGAACAAGTGTGATCTGTTGTGTGATTTTAGATATATGATAACAAATATTTGTTCTTAGAATTTCTTTTTGAGGTAGTTTTTTTTTAATACCCTTTTTTTTTTTAACCCTTTAACTCCCAAGATCTGATTGTTTATTCACTTTTCTAGCTTATACACTAGAATTTGGCATTAAATCAAGATAACAACTTCTATCTGATAAGTTTGAGTATTCTCATCAACTGTTTGCTGGATGATGTATGGATATTATGTGGAGAAGTTACAGGTCAATCACTACTGAGAGCTGAAGGGTTAAGCTAATGCTTACACCAACTGAAACCATTTTCGTTGTAACCTAGGTGGTGTTATTCATCCATAAGCTGAGGGAAATTTTGGATGACTCTGAGGAATGCAGAGGAAAGTATGAATTGGTTCCAATTTCAGGAAATGACACAAACAAGATTGCGGATGTCCTTGTGGGAATGCACAGTGCAACCAAAAAGAGATTAAGAAGAGGAGACTGATGAGCAAACTAGGCAATAGAGCAGATATGTGGCTGCTGCTCCACAGCAACAGTATGGACAACAAAGGAACTCTTGTTATACATTGCACATGTATAGAGCTGTGTTTCTGAGTGTTAAGAAACACAGTGTCAGACCCTGAGAGGCCAAAAATTGATTATTTGTACTCTTAAGCTAGAAAGCAAGCATCC